GGGCAAGAAACAGAATTTTAAGTGCATAATTTAAAAACACAAGTAGAAAAAATAAAAATAATATAAAAATTTTAAAACTGGAAGAAGAGGCTTTGGGACCTGAGCAACCCCAAACCCTCGTTTTATACAACAGGACATGAATAGAGAACGTTTGTAATTGACAAGTGAGAATAGAGCTGTGAGCAATTTTATTGACTTATAAGGGAACTGTCATAAGAGCTAAATGACTTTATTGAGAGAGAGCGCCTCTAGGGAGAAGTAGAGCAGGGAATTGTTGCTTGTACAAATTCTCTACTATTTTATTTTTGTTTCCACTATGCATATGTATTTTTCTAATTTTTAAGAGTTATTTTTGATAAGCTATTAACATTCTTCAAGGACAGTTGGAATGGAAAAGAGAGCAGGTGGGAGACGCTGCAGAACAAACCAACACTTGACGACTGACTCGATGTGGGGGCAGAAGATGCATCTTGGGGTTTGAGCCTAAATGCAGATGAGAGTGAATAGGCAGAGTAGTGGGTGGGACTTTTTGGGAAGGACAATATATGGTTTTGACAAGGCTGTTGTAATTGACAAAAAGTTGCCAATATTCATATTTGAAAGATATAGATGTTTTTAATGTTCATAAAGGGTATAGGTTCTTTTTATTTTTATTTTTTTACTTTTTAATCCTCACCTGAGGACATATTCATTGACTCTAGAGAAAGAGGAAGGGGGGGGGGGCAGAAGCACTGCTGCAAGAGAAACATCCATCAGTTGCCTCCAGTGTCCACCCAACCAGGGACAGAAACTGCAGTCTAAACACATGCCCTGACTGGGAGTCGAACCCGTGACCTTTCCATGCACAGGATGATGCTCCAGCCAACTGAGCCACACCAGCCAGTGCCGGGGTCTTTTTTGTTTAAAGGTTGTTGCATGAACCAAGAAACAGTGCAGTGTGCTTCCAGATGTGAAACAGGCCATCCTGTTCTTCTAAGATGCTCCCTCTGGAGAAACACAACTGCTGCTGAGAGCACCCATGCAGAGGGAGGGCTCCTGCTTGCCAAATACTCACCTCTGCACCAGCACAGGTGTTTTATGCACCTCACCAGGACTGCCCACCTATTCAGAATCCTGCCTCCTTGCCCATCCTCTCCCTGGGTGCAAGTAACTGATGCAGTTACCCCTGAACACAGTATGGATTGTGTACCATGAGACTGTGAAAGGAAGGTGAGCTTCCCAGACAGAATGTCTCATGATAGGTTAAGGCTTCAGTCCTACCCGAGGCTGAGTTCTGCAGGAGGTGATAGTCCGATCCTGGACTTACTGCATTGGAAGCAGTATCGGGCTATCTGAGTGGAACTGTTAGGCACATAGGTAGGAACTGAGGACTAGGGCTCAGGAGTGGGAGGAGGACGAGGCATGGGGGGGAAAGGCTGATTTGAGTTGGATGAGCAACCAGGGGCAGAAGTGTAGAGGCTGCCGAGGGACAAAGAGTCAAGGAGAGATCCTTGGGGAATACATACATTCGGGAATGGGAGAAGAAAGAGGAGACCAAGGGGGCAGTTCAAGGGGTGAGAAGAATTAGAAAAGAACAAGCTCAAGGGGAAGAGTAGCAAGAAGGGGCTCAGCAGTGCACCAACCTGCCACAGAGCAGGAGGACCGGGGTGGAGAAAGGCCACCTGGACATGGCAGATGGGGGTTTTGCTGGATGTCCAGACTCAGAACAGGCTTGGGGGTGGGAAGGCAAGGCTCAAGGGAGGTCTGGGCAGGTCTGATTGGATGAACTCCGTTTTCTCAGTCAAGCCACCAAAAGATCATCCACAGCGAGTATGGTCTTCCCAGGGGAGACCTGGGGAATGGCCGCTAGAGAAATTGAAAACCAAAATCGCCTTCCCTCCATTATGTTTTGTTTACCAGTAGAGTGTTTATAAGAGCATCAACTGCTCTGGTTTGGGAGTAGGATGTATTGGTTTTTAAGTCCCCTCAATGGTCTGGTCACCTCTGGTATACTAGCCACTTAGAGAAACTTAGACCATTTGCTAATACCCCTGAGCCTACCCAGAATTCTTCGTTGGTCATCATCGCACATCTCACCTCATCCCTTGTCAGTGGCGCATAGAATTTTCTGTGCATTTGTGGTTATTTTGTATAATTAGCCTATCCATTTTAACTACTACTCGGTATATACATTTTCTCTAATAAAGTGAAAATTTGTTCTGTCCATCTTGCGTCTTCTTTTTCATTCCACTAATTGTCCCCCTGCCGCTTTTCTCTGGCACATTTGGAAGACCTCCTTTCTCACTGCAGTGTTACTATCCTAAAATTTGGCTATAAGCAATAGAAAACCCAACTGACAAGTGAATAAACAAATAAGATATTATCTTTCTCACGAAATTATTCAGGTAGGTAGTTATAGGAATTGGTTCGGCAAGTCAGTAACGTCAATAGGTCAGACGAGGCCGACTCTTTTGGTCTTTTTCTTATGGCAGTAAAATGTGTGCTAAACTCCAACCGCCACATCCATGTATCACACAGAGAGAAGTGGAAAGGGCAGGGCCAAAAAATGTGCGCTTGTGTGTCATTGGCCATAATGTGACAAATGGCTACTACCTATAAGAGAAGCTAGGGAAGTGTATATTTGTTTTTATAACCTCTGGCGTCCCACCCATGGCCCACTGGCCACGTGGAGCCCAGAACGGCTATGAATGCAGCCCAACACAAAATCATAACTTTACTTATGGGACATCCATAAAAATATTCCATTTTTATTCTCATTTTGACTCTTCCACAGTTGCTTTCACCATGAGAGCCAGTGAAAACTTAGAGTCGAAGGACAGCTTTAAACCGTCACAGTAATGGGTGACAGTTCTTCTACTTTCGGTCCCACCCCCCCTTTTCTCATTGGCTGGTTATTTAAGACCTTGATCCTGACCCAAGGGAAATGTTAACCGTTTGCTTCTTTGTAAAGGAAATATAATGTGCATGTACACACTCATGCTTCTTTGTGTTGAAGGCCTCCTTTAAAAAAAAACTAATTGTAAAATACACATAACAAAATGTATCATTTTAACCCTTTTTAAGTGGCGTTAAACGCATTCTCATTGTGCAACCCTCACCGCCTTCCATCTCCAGAACTTTTTTCTTTTCCACCAGAAACTGTGTCCATTAAACAGTAACTCCCACCAACCCATTCCCTGCCCCATTCACCGCCACTCTACTTTCCGTCTCTGTGAATTTGATTATTCCGGGGACCTCATATAAGTGACATCATACAGCATTTGTCCTTTTGTGACGGGCCTTTTTCACTTAGCATAATGTCCTCAAGGTTCATCCGTGTTGTAACAGGTGTCAGAATGTTCTTTTGGAGGCTGAAATATATTTCACTGTATATACATACCGCAGCTTATTAATCCATTTATCCATCAGCGGACTCTTGAGTTGCTTCTCCTTTTGGCTGTGCACTTCCCGGGCCCTTTTGGGCGCCAGGGGAGTCCTCCCCCCAGAGCGGCAGAGCAGAGTGCGCTGCAGCTGTGGGTCGCCGAGGCGTGTGTATCTGTGCAGGGAGGAGCGCTGTCTGCTCAGGAAGTGTCTGCCCCGCGTCTGCTGGTCATGTTGTTAGACATCGAGCTACCATAGAGGAAAGCAGTTATTTTCTTCTGGAAGTCATTTTTAACTAATTCTTTTCATTGTATAATTTGTAATACCTAATTTAATTTGGTAATACATAGACAAAAGAGAATCACCTTTGATGGCTTCTAATAATGGTGTTCACTGTGATGTAGATAATCACAGGTTCCCTAATTACATATGGCTTTGAAGGTTTTAACAATCTCTTTGTGAAAGGTTGGCCTTCCTAAAGAAGCGTTCCCCAGGATTTCTTCGGCGTGTTCTCGTGCCCCAATATTCTCGGGAAGGGGAAGTCCATCCAGGCAGAGCTGGGCGTGGGCTTGTTTCATTTAGGAGGCCCCGGTGAGCGTGATTATTTTCCAGATTCCATAACAGGGTCCCACTCCACAAACCCTGGAACGTAGCTGGCTCTGGAGCCACGAAGTTTGAGTTTGAACCCTAGATATGCCTCTTCTGAACGTGCAAATGAGTGTCTGTCACTGAGCTCTAAGGGCGTGCCAGGAACTCTTCTGGATATTGTGTGTCTTAATTTGTTTAATCTGCACAACAAGCCTGTCAGGAGAGTGACATCCCGATTCGGGGACAGCGGTCTGCGGTGTGGCTGTGGGGCTCCGGGCCAGAGCGGACGCAGTTAATAGATGGTGGTGTCAGGCTTCAAACTCAGACCGTCCACCTCTAGAGCTGGAACTCCCAGCTACTCCACTAAACGGTCCTGTAGAAATCGCGATCTGTGTGGTGAAAGTGGGGAGGGAAGAGGCCGTGGAAACCATGGAACAGCAGAGCAGTACATAGAGGTTAGTCGAGGGTGTCTTAATGATCCTCCCTCCTTTTTAAAAATAAAAGTGTGCTTTCTTAGATCTTTGGAAGCAAAATCTATTCCCATGTGGCCGTGTGACCAGCACCTCTGGGGAGTCCAGTTCTGGCGTGACCCAGTGCAGTGTCCAGGGGCTGCTGTAAACAAGCACCACAAACCAGAGGTCCCAGAGCAGCGAAAATTGATGGCCCACAGTTCTGGAGCCCAGATGTCCACAGTCCAGGTGTCAGGGGGCCTGCTCCCTCTCAAGGTGCAGTGGAAGGATCCGCTGTGGCCTCTCTCCTCATTCCGGGCGGTTTTCTGGCAGTCTCTGCTGTACCCCGCCTTCCATATCCCAGTCTCTGCCTTCACCTTCACAAGGCATTCACCCTGTGCGCATGCGTCCAGATGCCCTTTTCAAGACACCGGCCCTATTAGATCAGGGACCTTCCTACTCGAGTGCGGCCCCATCTTCAACCAATGGCATCTATAACACCCTTTCCAAGTAAGCTCGCATTCTGGGTCTTGAACATGAGAGTTCAGGGTCAGGGGAAACAGTTCAGCTTGCATAACACCCAGTGTGTCCTTCTGGTCACAGCGGCGCCACGACGAGTGGGGGTGAGAATGAGCGTGAGGACCTGGAGCAGGAGTGGGAGCCCCCAGATGAGGAGTTAATCAAGAAGCTGGTGGATCAGATCGAATTCTACTTTTCTGATGAAAATCTGGAGAAGGATGCCTTCCTGCTGAAGCACGTGAGGAGGAACAAGCTGGGATACGTGAGCGTCAAACTACTTACATCCTTCAAAAAGGTGAGGCTTCCTTGGCAGAGCTGCTGCGTCCAGGATTTCAAAGGCGCTTTGGGTTATGGGTCTAAATATTTTTTACCCTTTTGAAACCAGATAACTAGTGACTTTTTACTTCCTCCCAGGGGTGAAAAGAGAAAAACGATCAAGAGAAGGGATTTAGAGTTGTTACCAGAAATATCATCCCACCTTCATAAAAGGTCCTGGGTGTTGGGACATGTCTCAGCAATAGTCTTGTGAGATGCCTACTAGGCCTAGAGTTATGTGAAACTCAAGTGTTTTGTCAAGTTGAATAAAGAAAAGGAGGAAGGAGTGCTCAGAGCTCTGGGAGGTGGGCCTCCTCCGGGACTCCAGCAGCCTTGGCTGTGCAGTGCCGGCATCCTTGTCGGGGTCAGGGGTGGGATGTCTACCTGTGGCTGCTGTCTGGGCAGCAGACCACGCGACCCCGCTGCATGCACCTCTGGCAGCTGGACTCTTTGCCTGCTGCTTCTCGAAGAGCCTGCAGACCAGTTGGCCTAAGAAGTCTGTGTCTCCCGGGGGAAGTGTGTTTGTAGAATGGAGAGCATGACGTTCCTGTTGCATAATGAGATGTGTGAGGAGTGGGCCGTGGCCACGCTGTCAGGGAGCACCGAGGGGGGAGCTTTCCCCCAGGGCTCTTCCTGGCCTCACCTCTGGGGGTGCTCTGCCCTCTTCTGCTGCTCTCGCTCCCTTATTCATTCATCAATGCCGAGTACCGTGTTAGCCCAGGAATGCAAAGGAATTGGGCACCCCCTGCCCTTCCCAAGTCCACTGAAGGAGAGGGGTCAGTGGAGGATTACAGTGTGACCATCGGCAGCACCACGAAAGAGAGAACAAAGCGCTGCTGGGGGTGAGTCGATAAGAGCAACTAACCCTGCCTGGAGAGCTGAGGTCTTCCCGGAAGGGATAGCATTCAAATTGAACCTTGGAGGATGATGAGTAGGAGTTTTCAAGGCACAGGAGTGGGGAGGGCATTTCATGTTACAAAGGAAAAACCAACTCTTCCTCTGTGTGTCTCCTTTATGTCACGCCATTGCCTCAGTCACACTGCTGCTGCCAGGTGTGAGGGGACTCGCTGGCCAGGCATTTCTGACGCCAGCTGGGTGCCCTGCAGTCTGACTCAGTCCTGACACTGTCTACCTGGAGGCAGCATCAGACCTCAGGGGGTTAGGGCCCCGCCCCATGAGACTGCCCCCACTTCAGGTGACAGTCACAACTAGTAGGTCCCAGGTTACCCACAGCTCCTGTCCGACTTCTCTGCAAGTCACAGGTTCCTGTGACCTCTTCCCCTTGGATTCAGTTGTTTGCTAAAATAGCTCATAGAACTTGGGGCAACACTGACATTTACCAGATCATTAAAGGGCATAATAAAGGATGCGGATGGACAGCCAGGTGAAGAGGTGCGCAGACCAAGGACTGGAAGGGTTCCCAGCACAGGAGCTTCTGTCCCAGTAGAGTTGGGGTGCATGGTCCACCAGGTAGGTGGGTGTGTTCACCCACCTGCCAGCTTTCCAAGACCCCTACTACTGGGGTTTTTTGGAGGCTTCTTTACATAGACATGATCAATTATTAACTTCATTCCCTCCCTCTTTCCCCTCTCAGGAGGATGTGGGGGCCGGTGAAAGTCTAAGCCGCTGACTGTGGCTTGGTCTTTCTGGTGACCAGAGCCATTCCAGGAGCCTTCAGAGCCTGCCCAGAGTCACCTCACTAGAGTAAAAGATGCCCCTAGTGCTCTTGCTGTCCCCAAGGAATTTACAAAGGTTTTGGGAGTTCAGTGCCAGGAATGGGGGTGAAGACCAAATATATATATTTCTTCTAATAAATCACAACATCGCACATGTGCAGAGGACAGCGAGCAAGATCTCACATGCAGAGTGTCTGTGGGGGACCCCAAAATGTTGCAGCTGGGGAGTCATCTTATGCACTTCTCTTCCCTCCCCAGGGGTCCCAGGAGTCACCCTGATTTTCATTCCTTTTCAAGCTGTCACTTATGGGTCTGTTTAGGAGGGGTCTTCTCTGTTGCATGCTGGTTTCCGAGTGGACACAGACTCCCCAGTCCCTCCAGAATGACAGCAGAGACCCTTTCTTTTTAAAGGGTTTCCTGGTAATCGCAATAGGAAACCTGTGTGACAAAGGTAACAAACACAGAAGTGACAGTTTCTGAAAATGTCACAAACTTCTTGTAATAAAACAGAGGCCACAGCGCGCTGGTTCCTCTTCTTAGCTGGTGACTGTGTGCTCCTTCTGAAGCTCACGGGCACAGGCCTCCACGCTCAGACTGAGACCCCCCAGTGGGCCTGGCCCCTGGCTCCAGGGGGCTGCTGGAGGGCTGCCGCGTCCTCCCACAGCCCACTTTTCTCTTGACTGGATGTGCCCCACCCCCTCAGCCTTCGCTGCCCTCTGAGTAAGGCAGCCCCACCTCCCTGCCCCTGCCCAGGCACCTTTGCTCAGGCTTCAGGCTCCGGCTCAGGCAGTGGAACGGCCCTCCCTCCTGAGTGCTCCCTCCCTGACCCGGCTTGGAGAAGGACCCCAGGTTCTGCCCCCCGGGAGGACCTCTGGTCGGCCCCCCGCAGCCTGGCACCGATCTGCAGTCTTCACCCTTTCCGGATCCCAAACGGTGTCAGTTCGGCCCAAGTCCAGCCCTTTCCCTGCGCCCACTTCTCTCTGCCCTTAGGCTGTGATGTGGTGATCAGCACATTGAGTCTCCGTGTGGGGGGCTGTGATTCCCACACTCAAAGCCTAGATTTGGGCCATACCATCCGGGGGCTGCAGGCTGGAATGGACAGTGTCCTCTCTCCCGGAGTGGCCTGTACGACTGATGGCACTGCCTGGAAGGGAGCACTCCCTTCTTGAGTCCTGGGGAGCACCTGGTTTGGTCTCTGGGTCCTCTGCAGAGCAACTGCTCTGGCCTGGCCTCGGAGGACTCGGGGTGATCTTGCCATTGTTGGATCAGGCCGCCCACCCCACCCACCTCCCCCACCTCTTCGGGATGACTCATCCTCCCTGGCGTTCCCTACAGTGGGAGTGGGCCTCATGAAAATTACTGCTTTAGGATATAAATATAGCTTTCACGTACGGCAACCCTGATACACACAATTTCCACTAAGTGAGGAGGGATCTATTTCCTCACGCTCCGTGAGGCCCGAGTTGGATTTAATTCCAAGTTGAAACAGGACACATTATTTCCAGGAGATATTGCAGTGAAACATGAAAAGCTTTTGGAGCCTCTTGTGTAGCAAATACATAAATGCAGAAATACAACTTTGGAGAGGCATTGGGATGTTAAAATCTCTAAGTCCTATCAAAATGATAGCATGTAACATTTGAAATAATGACAGCATCTAATATTTATTGAGTAGTCCCTGGGAGCCAGGCCCTATTTTAAGTTGTGCGTGTGTGTGGGTGTGGGTGTGTATGTGTGGATATAAATATGTACGTACATATGTATTTATTCATTTAATCCTCCGGCCAGCTCTGTGGGGTAGGTGTATTAACATCTCCATTTCACAGATGAGGAAATCGAGGCACTGAGCAGCTGAATAGGGCCTTGGCCCAGAGCCTGCAGGTTTAACCTCTACACTTGTGCAGGATAGAGTATCTGCTGCACCATGGAAAGTTCTGTGGGACTGCACAGCTTTAAACTGCTGCCTCCCTTGACATCGTATGAAGTGTGTTTGTTCACTCAGTCATTCACTAGGTTTTCGAGTGCCTGTCTGCACCAGGTATGATTCTAGATACCAGTGTTCCGGAGTAAGGAAAGGTGGGAGGGAGATTACAGGGGACACAGGTGGACAGAGACATGAGGTACCAATTCAGATTTGCTTCGTGTTCTTTAGGTGAAACACCTTACACGGGACTGGAGAACCACAGCACATGCCTTGAAGTACTCGGTGACCCTCGAGTTGAATGAGGACCACCGGAAAGTGAGGAGGACCACCCCTGTCCCACTCTTCCCCAATGAGAACCTCCCCAGCAAGATGCTCCTGGTCTATGATCTCTACTTGTCCCCCAGGCTGTGGGCCCTGGGCAGCCCCCAGAAGAACGGGAGAGTGCAGGAGAAGGTGATGGAACACCTGCTCAAGCTCTTTGGGACCTTTGGCGTCATCTCCTCAGTGCGGATCCTCAAACCCGGGAGGGAGCTGCCCCCTGATATCCGGAGGATCAGTAGCCGGTACAGCCAGGTGGGGACCCAAGAGTGTGCCATCGTGGAATTCGAGGAGGTGGAAGCGGCCATCAAAGCCCACGAGTTCATGGTCATGGAATCTCAGGGCAAGGAGAACATGAAAGCTATCCTGATCGGTATGAAGCCACCCAAAAAGAAGCCTCCCAAAGACAAGAACCAGGACGAGGAGCACCCTGCCAGCATCCCCTGGAGCAAATCCCCGAACAAGAGAGTTGAGGAGCTGCAGTACATGGGGGACGAGTCTTCCGCTAACAGCTCCTCCGACCCCGAGAGCAATCCCACGTCCCCTATGGCTGGCCGGCGGCATGCGGGGGCCAGCAAGCTCAGCCCTTCTGGCCACCAGAATCTCTTTCTGAGCCCGAATGCCTCCCCGTGCTCAAGTCCTTGGAGCAGCCCCTTGGCTCAACGCAAAGGAGTTTCCAGAAAATCCCCACTGGCGGAGGAAGGCAGGCTGAACTCGAGCACCAGCCCTGAGGTCTTTCGCAAGTGCACGGACTACTCCTCTGACAGCAGCGTCACTCCCTCCGGCAGCCCCTGGGTCCGGAGGCGCCGCCAAGTGGAGATGGGGGCGCAGGAGAGGAGCCCCCGGGCCAGTCCGCTGCCGGCTCGGAAGATGCAGACTGCAGATGGGTTACCTGTGGGCGTGCTGAGGTTGCCCAGAGGCCCCGACAGCACCAGAGGATTCCATGCTGGACATGAGAGGAGCAGGGCCCACGTATAAATAAATGCCTTCTATTTTTGATACCAGCTCCATCACAAACTGCCTCTGTCTTCAAGGTTCTGACAAATACCTGGCATGATGTAGGATGAAATGAAGTCCCCTTTCAAAAGATATTTGTATACATGTAAACCTCTTAATTTATATATTTGTAATGTACATGAACTGTCTGGTACGCTCTGGTTTTAAGACCGTCTTCTAGTTCAGGACGCCCCTCCTCCCGGCGCGCCCGCTGCTCCGACACCGCCCAGTGTGTGCGAAAGGCCCCGCCCAGTGCGGCTGTGGGGCGGGGCTGTCCTCTGCGGTAACGTCGCGGTCCTCAGTTGGCTGTTCCCCGGGCTTCCTGGGCGCGCAGAGGAATTCTGTCGTGTAGTGGCAACTACTTTAAGCCCGTAGCATGGTATCTCCCAGGACCTACTGTATGTTTCGTGTCAAGTGAATAAATAATAAAACACCCAACTGGGAGTGCTGGCTCTGAAGTCATAGACTGCGCCTGACAAAAGTCTGCCCGTCCAACACGGCTGTGGTTAGCCTGTCGTGAGGCCCTGGGGAGCTTAATGGAGACACATTTCACGAATGTGCCCCAGGGCAGCCCTGGGGCGCTCCCTGGGGCTCCCGGCAGCCTGAGGCGTGCAGAATTTGTGCAGATGTTAGAGCCCCGCACTTCTCATCACAGTGAGTCACCGAGCAGGAGAGAACTCAGTGCAGAGCAAGGTCCCCAGTGTGACAACCCACAGCAGTGACGTCACCTGGGGACCTGTTAGAAATGCAAATGCTCGGGCCCACTGAATCAGAAACTGTGGGAGAAGGGCCTGGAATCTGGATTTTAACAAGCCAGCCTGGTGATTCTGAGAACAGAGCTGTGGGGCTAGATGTCACACAGAGCAACTCCCACGTCCCAGACCCCACTGCCTGGTTCTGTGACTTTAGGACAGTTTGTAGTGCCACCCAGCCTCATTGTATCCTGCAAGGTGCCTTGTCTTAACGTCAGTGTCTGAAATGCAGTTGGCCCTCCATAAGTGGTAGCTCCTTTTCCTGGGGTTCATGTCCATTATCACCAGAAGCCATTTTGGTGTTGCAGAAAGAGCACTGGCCAAGATTTCAGTGTTGGCTTCTCATTTGCTAGTTGGAGAGATTGGGGGCAAGTCACTTAGTGGATTTTGTTAATAATTATTGAATACTGGTTAGATGCCAGGAACTATGCTAAGAGTTTTCCACGCATTATCTCATTTAATTTTCCCAGGTCGCACAAGAAAGGCTCGGGTGTCATCTCTTATACACCAGTAGAAACATTATGTGGGGAAGTAACTGACCCGTCCAGACGGCTGGAGCTGGCTAGAGCCCAGCCTCTCACTGCTGGACGGGACCTAGCATCGCTGAACCTTGCCATCCACATTAAAAATAAAACCCACAAAAGGTGTGCATATTTATTCAGCACCTCCTATGTGCTAGAAATTTTGCGAGAAACATTCTTTGGGTTTTCCTCCCAGTGCCCTGTGAGGTGTTATTACGCCCATTTCACCCAGGGAGCTGCCGGGGCGGGGCTGTGTGGCACTCGTTATGAAAGTGGGCGAAGACGATGCCTTTTAAATGACACAGCTCTACACCAGTTAACAGGTGGTTCTTATCTGGTTAGTAAGACAGCATGTCCCTTTGAAGACCCAGAAGAATCCCTATAAATTGGTAGATGCCTCCAGGAATTACTCAGATCTGCCATTTATTTCCACCACTGCCAGCTATAGGGGGCGCAGCAGCTGCCTGACCCTGGGCAGTGCCCATCCCACTCCAGGCCGCTCAGAGCTTCACCCCCTGACTCCACCTCTACTCCCCTGCCTACCCCTGGCCACAGCCCTCTGGACTTCGCCAGTGTTTGGCCTGGTGACCTTCAGATTCTTCCACTCCTTTATGTACACAAGCTACAGCTCTATTTTTAGATTCAATCCTGTGGGTCACAATTTCTTTGAAAAATACCTATACCCTCACCTTTCTATGTGAATACAGATTAACTTGGCCTTCTGTTTGTAACACTGCCCTGTATGACCTTATGAAGTAACCCTAAATTAACCCAGCAGATACGGGCTCTAGCTGTTCCAATAAGTAACAGTTTGACCTTGGCAAGTCACCTCTCTTTGTGACTCAGAGTTTCCCCATCCAACCAGTGGATAATAATAAGATGCTCATTATCAAGGCCATGTGTGTGCAAGTGCTTTGTGAAGCAAAAGGTCCTTTGGAGATGTTAGTCGTTGCCCTCTGCTCTCCTAGGGCTCTTTCCTGTGCTCACCCCAGCCTCACATTAGCATCCCCCCTAGAGAGCTCTTCAAAACGGCCTGCACCTACCCTGAGACAGTCTGATTCAATTCGTTCTGAGTGAGGCCTGGGAACCCATGGTTTTTAAACCTCCCTGGGCGGCTCTAATGGACGGGCAGTGGGAGAAGCACTGATGCGTTAGAATGAGGAGGGCACTCTGAACGATTGAGGGGCCTTCTACACATCCATCCTCTGCTCCCCCTTCAAGGCTCAGCCTTCGTAGACCTTGCAGACCTTTGACCCCAGAGACTCCGAGCACCTGGCTGAAGAACCTGATCTTTCTGAAGCTCTGGCCAACCCTTCAGCAGGAGCATGGGCTTCCTGTTTATTAGCAGAGCAGGACTTTCTTGAATAACTTGACTGGGAAACTCAGCCAACAGTATTTTTACAGATGTTTCATTGTTTTTAATTAAAACCAGCTTTTTCTCCGTATTGGGACCCAAAACTTGCTGGACATCTCCCCATGAGGTGCTGGCAGAACATTCAAACTCCACACAGACGTCCAGATGCCCTCTTCCAACCCCGCCTTACACACACACACACACACACACACACACACACACATACCTGTGCCTCCTGACTTTCTGACCCAGCCAGGGAGCCTTCATGTCCCTGGACTAGAAAAGAGACTGTACGGTGTATGTGAAGAATGCAGGTTTGGGGGCTTAATCACCAGGTTCAAGTCCTAGTGACCTTTGGCAAGTGACTTAGCCTCTCTGTGCCCCGTTTCCTCCCCCCTAAAGGTGGATGATGAAATTCCTACTTCACGATTTGTGAGAATTCAGTGAGTTACCATCTAAAATGCTCACTGACTTGCACGTGGCAGACACTCAGAGAATGTGAGGGTCTCGTATTTATCCCTTTTTCTCCACCATTTTCCACGTTCAGTGGACAACTCAGAGCTGTTGGCTCCGTCTCTGGAATGTTTCTTACGTGCTCCCTCCTCCCCGAGTCCTCACACCCTTCTCCCAAGACCTTCCAGTTTCTTGTCCCCTTTAACCTCCCTCATAATGCCCCCAAACCCATCTTACATTTTGTTCGCATAACTTTCTTACTTAAAGAAGAAGTTGCTGGCTGCCCCTTCCCTAAACGCAGAATGAGGGCCAGACTGCCCCAATCCCCCTGCTGCACGTGGTCGGGGGAAGGCCCTCTGAACATGAGCTCAGCTCATCCAGAAGCGTGTCCCTGCCTGCGTTTTACTTTGCCATTGCATCACTCCAGGGTGTGCCCAGGCTGAGAAGGGCTCTGTTTGCCTTCTGCCGCACAGGCTGAAACACATGAGAAAGGACTCTTTGAAAACACATTGGTCATGGATTATTTTTGACTACTTCCCCCCAAACGCGAACTTGCTTTTCTCAGTAGTATTCAGCTGCACAGTCTATCCTGGCGAGTGGTAAAGAAGACGGCAAAGCACCCAGAGCTAATGGCAATGCTCTAGGAAGAAAGGAGTGAACACTACCAGGGAATGCCGACTTCTGGCTCCCAGCACCACCTCCGACCTGGTGAGGGCCCACTCCCTGACAGAAATGTGATCCTGTAGGCCAGAGCCTGAGTATTTCACCACAGGAAGCACCCCTCACAAGGATGGGCGATGGGCGTGCCAGTGGGTCAGTTCTTTCTGACCTCACCAGTGCAGCAGGAGTCAGACTGGGCCCTCGTTGCTCTGGGAGCAGGAACAAGTGTGGCGGGGTCACGTCTGGGGCGTGTGTGCAGCCCAGCGGGGTAAGCTGAGCAGCTTTCACCTGGACCAGTTTCGAGTTGAGCAGCTATTTGCACAACACTCCTGTTGTGCAAATGGGAAGAGCAAGCGAGACATGTGTCTTGTTACTGTACACAGACACCTGATTAAGATCTGTAGGCATTCTATGCTACGGGGGAAAAACAGCGGGCTGAAGTGCTTTGGTTGAAAGATGTAGCCTGAGTGATCCTTGCCCTTATCTGTAACTGGAATGTGCAGTAGGTCCAGACCTGTTTTTCCAACAATGAGCTTCTAATTGACTCACCTTCAAAGATGAATTTGAGAAAGTCAATTTGTTAGAGCTTTTCAGACTGGTAGACCCCGGAGGCAAATTCCTCTCATTGGTTTGCTCTCTGCACCCTCTAGTGTCCAACCTGTGACATAACCCAATCTAAACGGATTACAATCCGACACCTGCATAGAGTCCGATTTACACTTTCATGAGTGGAAGAATAAGAAACAGTCTAAATTCCAGCCTCGCTACTTGTCATACTATGAGTCCTGTCCCATCTCTCAAACTTGTAAAATGATGTGTAGGTATATACCATCATTTACTAGTGTTCTAGTAAATTTTAAAGAGGGTAATATACGGAAAATACTTCACACAATACTACCTAGAAGAAATCGCTAAAAAAAACCACCAAAAACCAACCCACATCTCATCATTAAAACTTTCATTCATAAACTCATCCTGAGAAGTACGAAAAGACTTATTTAGGGCACAAATCACTTTGCACTGTAGTCAATTACTCCTGCACCATTTCTTTGCTGGATTATGAGATACGAGATAAAGAGCACGTATCTCAACCCATCTAACTAAGTCTGACCCGTGGCTGGAGATCAGGGAGTACGTGTTGCATGGATACTGAATAAAAATTTGTCTTCCTCACCCTTAAAAATACACTGCACTGTGCTATACATCATATACATTATACAGCACACTACACTGTACTATACTATGCACTACACTATACAGCACACTACACTGTATGGGGCACTATACTATACAGCACACTATGCTAGACAGTGTAATTTCACAGTGTAGTATAAATTCAGTGGTTCCAAACACATCAGCAGACCCTCTCAGAGGCCACACATATTCCAATGGCTTCATGAAAACTCTTGTCTGAAACAATCTGGCCCTGGAATGCACCTTGGAGCATTGTAACTTCCCATAGTATATTCTGCATGATTAAGCCTGGGAGGGGGGACTCCTGAACTCTGGTCCCCGAGGACTCTGAAAGGAGTGTGAGTACCTAGGGGAGATGCACGGAATGAAGGGATGGAGCCCACATCTGCACTGAGAGGCCACTGATGGTCCTGAGGCAGCGCAGTAAGAAGCTAAACAAGGCCAAACAATTTGGGCAGTTTACAGCCAACCATTCATAAGTTTGTATCTTCCCTAACTTAGGAC